CCCCCCCCCTCACACTTTTACCCCCAGCACTGGAGAGCAGTGCCTGGGGGGGTAAATGTTCTAGAAGCACTAATAATAAGAACCATAATGATATTTTATATTGTGATGAAATGAATAATACTCGTCTACATATGTTACATAGTTACATAGTATTTGAGGTTGAATAAAGACATTAGTCCATCAAGTCCAACCATGTACTCTTAAACTCTAATACAAACTTCTTTAACCCCTTTGTGACGGGAGACGTACACTGTACGTCCCGTCACAAAGTGCCTATATGACTGGCCATGTACACTGTACGTGACGAGTTATTTAAGGCTCTGTAATGCCGGTAACCGATGATTCTCATCGGTTACCAGTCATTAATGGGTGGGTCAGTATTGAGGCATTCATTAATGAAATAGTTAAGCTTTTGTAAAAGCTTCTTTCTTTCATTAATGAAAGAATGAAGCCGTTACATACAAATATGGGATCACTAAATAGCAATCCCGTATTTGACAGCTGAAGATAGCAGAGAGGTAGCAGAGTGACTCACGTTTCTGCTATTTGTTTTGACAGCTCAATAGCCGATGTTTATGATACATTTCAGGTACAGAGATACAATGTATCTCTGTGCCTGAAATGTATCACTTCTGAGCGCCTAAGCACGATCAAAGACCTTTAAGGTGCCCATACACTGCCCGATTCTCGTCCGAGAATCGAGGGAAATCCAGCGATTGTACGAGGATCGAGCAGTGTGAACGAAGACGTGCGACCATTTCTACTGTACGGTCGCACGTCTTTTGTCTAAGGAGCATGCTAGAAAACCAGCCGAGAATCTACGATTTTCGGCTGGTTAGAACGGTGCTCGGGAGACAAATGCCGAACGGGCCGGTGTGCGCACGCGCACACTGCCCGTTCAGCATTGCGGTCATCAGGGGGGTGGGCTTGCGATGATCGAGAGTACGATCTGCCTGCCCAAGATGGGCAGATCGTACGTTTTTTTAATCACTTTACAACCATCGCAAAACTAAGGTCTTGCGATGGTTGTACAGTATATGGCCACCTTAAGTGAGATCTGAATCTGACAATCTGTCAGGATCAGTCTCTATGGCTGGGCACACACCTTACAACCATCGCAAGACTTTTGTCTTGCGATGGTTGTAAGGTACTTAAAAAAACGTACGATCTGCCTATGTTGCATAGGCAGATCGTACTTGCGATAATATAGCTTTAGTAATGTGTTTTTTTTTGTAGATGTACTTTCTATAAGATGTACCCTTCTATAAGGTTTTATCAGAGGTGAATCTCTGGGATTAGGGACTGCATTAGGCACCCAGCGTTCATGTCCGTCTGTAGGAGAAGTTCAGAGAGCAATCATTCTACACTAATAAGACAGATAGGACAATACTTCTACTGCACAGAGGGGGATCTGTGACCACACCATCCTGAGCTCTGACGTCACTCCTATACTAGACACCTCACAGGTTAGTTTTCCTAATCAGCCCCCACCTCCCCCCAGGTGGCTGCTATGGCTATTGATAAGAACACAAGTCATGTTCTCCCCACTCCCCAGGCCTCTATTCTGAAGTGTTCTCTCCTCAACTCCCTCTCCCCTCCTCACATCACTTCCGGGTGCCTGTTGTAGGAGGGGTCGGGCAGTAGATGGCGCTGATGATAATGATGACAGGCCGTTTTTGTTGTGAACTTTTCTCCAGTCTCCTACATGGTAATGAGAAGAGCGGTCACAGGATTCCTGATTGTGGTGAGCAGTCTTGTTTGTATGATATCTATACTGGAGGAGCGGCATTTCTAGTGTACACATGGTGAGAGCTCCCCGGGGCAGTCGTGTTGTACACAGCCTGTGCTATGAGGGGGAGAGGCGGGAGTGACATCTGTCACGGTTTGACAAGGCGACATTTCCATGAGTCGAGTCCCACCTGTAGACACCCTTTACCCGGTGTATGATCAGCCTTGTGGTGGGTGGTAATGTCTGGGCACATAACAGGGTGTTGGCTCATGGAGGAGCAGAACTCTGTGTACAAGTGACAGAATTCCCAAGTATTGCTGTGAAATCTAATTATTTCCTGGGACTTTGTATATAAAAATAACTCCCTGTTCATGGTATGCCAAACCCCTGCAGGGAATGCCTGTGACCACAGAGTGGAAAAGGTGC